GAGTTGACCTGGATTAGTTCAACAGCATCCTATATGGTCCCTTGAGTCCACCAGGAGTGGACTCTGAGAAAAGAGGAAGGGCCAAGTCCTGAGCGCTATTGTAAGTGGCCCAATATCCATAAGGAAAAAAAGGATAGAAAAGGAAGCTGCCAAATATCTCATTCAAGAATCAATGAAGAAATGGATGGATTAATAGAATTTGTGTCTTTCACCTTACTAGTATAGTGAGAGAACTAGCACAGTGAGAGTAATGGAGGTGAGGACAGGGGGGAGAAATTATAAAATACAGGAAACTACTTTCAAGGACAGATATATGTATTGGAATAGGCTTTGGAGTTATTAAATTATCAAATTAAGAAGATATAACCCTATCATATGGTCCTGGGAAATTACACTGGTGGAGGGATGGGTGTTGGAACACTGTATGACTGAAACACAATCATGGACAATTTTGTAATGCTCTATCTCACGGTGATGCATTAAAAAAAAGATTCAGCCTTTAATAGGAAGCACAGAACTATAAGGGGGAAGAGGGGAAAATGGGAGGGACAGTAACAATGGTGGAGGAAAGTTGACATTGACATGAGGAGGGTGAGGTAATGGGATATTTTTTTGCATGAAATCCTGCCAGTATCAATACTATAAGTCATGGTGCCTGAAGTTTTTTAAATATTTTTAAAGAAAACCTAGAGAATGTTTTCACCTATAACCAAACAACAACTGTAACAAGTGGAAAAATCTGTCACTTCAGTCACAATGAACTCACTTCCTACATAGATAAGTAACCCCTATATGTGAGTGAGGTCATTTTTAAGGGATGCTCATTTATGCTAAATGAGGAACATGACAATGAGGAACTCTGACCAAAGTTTGTTCACACGGTGGGATGATGAAGTAGCACCCTTGTTTAGGGCAGTGGGGGAGTGGGGCAGGATGAGAGGGCTGGAACTCTCAAAACAGCAAATGTATGTAAGTCCTCAACACAACAATGCCACTTCCACAGTCACTGAATTACTTAATGCAACTTCATCTGTCACACAGGAAGATGCACACCCTGTTCCTCCAAGGGGAAATTGGCAACATCATTTAGGATGAATATGCAGGACAGAGACTAAGAAGCATACCAAGGGGCAGCTTTCTGTTTCAACAGGTATCTGATCTCTAAAATACATTTAATAAGTTGAAACAAAAGAAACACGATGCCCCATGTGGTTCTTGACACTGCAAGTTCCAATTTGCATTGAAACATTCTTTGACCCTAGCACTGAACTATGTAGTGAAATGACGAAAATTAGTAGGTGTTTCCCACAGGTCTTCTGCCCACTACTGGAGACCCTCCCATCAAAAGTGCCAATAATTCTGTCATATACCTAAAAAAATTAAATTATGTTAGTGTTTAAAGTAAACAGTAACCATTTCCTGTTTACTTTAGACCCCTCCCTGGCAGCTGACCTCAACCATCCAATCACCACCACACTCCAGGCCGCTTTCCACACGCTCGGGCCAAGCCTTACATATGAGTGAACATATTACTGGACACATCATAAGACACTTTCTACCCATTTTTTATAATTATCACACCATATTTAATGGGGTTCAAACAGTAGGCAACAAATAATAGAGGGATATATCTATATATAAATAAAATAAATAAATAAAGGCCCTCCCGTTGATCGTCGATTTGCTCGAGCGGGCCCAGTAACGTCTCCATTGGAGACTTTGTTGTTACTGTGTCTGGCATATCGAATACTCTCGGTAGCTTGCCGGGCTCTCCGAGAGGGGCGGAGGAATCGAACTCGGGTCGGCCATGTTGGCCACTTGTAAGGCCAACGCCCTACCCGCTGTGCTATCTATATATCTATATATATCTATATATAGATATATAGATAGCACAGCGGGTATATATATATATATATATATATAGATACATATAGATATATATATATGAGCCCGGCCAGACCCCACCCACACAGCAAATCCTGGAAAGCTATCTGTGGTGTATATCAGTGGTGTATTCAACATGCCAAAAACAATAACAATAATGGGTCTCATTTCTCTGATACTGAAAGAGTCTCCAATACTGCAGCGTTGGGAAAGATGGGTAAGGAGAGGTTGCTAAAATCTCAGGACTGGGATGAATGGAGATGTTACTGGCACCTGCTAGAGTAAATCTATGAACAATGGGATGACAGGGATACTGTGATACAGTGTTTTAAAATACATTAAGTTAACAAAAATAAAAAACATTTAAATACCCAGCATGGACATTTACTTCATCACTGTTTGAAAATTTATTTTAAACAATTCATCTATTATTTGTTTTATGTTAAACTATTAGAATTGCTCATTTATCTTATATTCCCAAATAGTAAGTTATATACAGTATATGATTTGGTGTAAAAAATTTGCAACAGACTGTTATAATTTCATAATGGATAAAATATTGAAATAGTGACAAAAACACAGCATTTACAAAACTGATTTAGAGCATGAGTTCATAGATAGCATGCATCAGACCATGTAGTTGGTATCATGATTACAAAGACTCCTCTCTTCATCTTGTATTATACTTTTGTATAGCAAATAGCTGCTTCCCATAAGACTAACAATTACTGAAATTTTGATAAACAAATAATAGTCATAGGTTACCTATTTCTATAATTTTTTCTCACATAAAAATATGGGCTGGAGCAATAGCCCAGTGGGTAGGGCGATTACCTTGCACTCGGCCAACCTGACTGACCTGAGTTCGATTCCTCCACCCTTCTCGAAGAGCCTGGCAAGCTACCGAGAGTATCTCGCCTGCACAGTATAGGCTGGCAAGCTACCCATGACATATTAGATATGCCAAACACAATAACAAAAAGTCTCACAATGAAGAATTTACTCGGCCTGGTAGAGCAAATTGATGAAAAACGGAAGCACAGTGCTACTCTAGTGCTGCTACTACCACATTAAAAAGATGAAAAGGGGCTGGAACAATAGCACAAGGTTCTGGAATAACAGTACATGGCTGACCTGGATTCCATTCACAGAATCCCATATGGTCCCCTCAGCACTACAAGGGGTAATTCCTGAGTGCAGAGTCAGGAATAAGCCCTGTCCATTTCCAGATTTGAGCCAAAAACAAAAGATGAAAAAATTCTTGATGAAGCTATTATAATCAATATTTTGGAGATTTTGAGTTAATATCCTCACTTCTACATACTCCAAAAACAGCTGATTTCAAACTCTAGTATTCTGTAAGAGAGAAAAATCTATCACACTTAGAATCCAGGCTTTAACCACATGATATAATTTGACTCACAAAATACTATCATATAAGATGTGAAAGTGATATAAAATATGTTTAGGATTTTGGATATATCCAAGAGAGATGATATGCACATGAACTTGAAGAAAAAGATTAATTGACATAGAACTATCTTGAATCTGAAGTTACAAGTTAATGTCAGAAGAAATAATAAAAAAAGAACATGAATCAAATGGATATTATTATGTGTATCATTGAAGATATATTTGATGCGAAATAATATTTGTGCTTAAATCTTTGTCAATATACTTGTTATTAAAATTATAGCATACAGAACGAGCCTGGCAAAAGGTACTGGGGACTCATATTAAAATTAAAACGAATTCATAATCTCATTATTTCTAATGAATAGCACAACTTGTTGACAAGAGATAAGTACAATTCAGTGTTAAAATAAGTAAATGACATGCTAATAATGCATTATAATAAGTCCTGGCATGTATAACGAAAATATTTATATTGAACTAAGCAAATGATTATAAATTTTCTATGTCATATTCTGATATTTATAAGAGAATTAGGTCAGATTTCTTTGCATGGTTCTTGACACTGTAGGTACCAAGTCTTTTTATCTTTCAATGTAAACTATGCAGGATGGCATTTTAGAATTTAATGTACATTTATGAAATTATATTTAGAATATTATGTTCAATCTTTATATCACTATCACTATCATCCCATTGGTCATCAAATTACTTGAGTGGGTGCCAGTAACGTCTCTATTCCACCCAGCCCTGAAATTTTAGCAGCCTCTTCTTTTTTTTTTTTTCCCTTTATTTTATTTTTTTTTTAAAGTTGTAGATTTACAATTTTTTGTGCTTTGGTTTCAATTATACAATGATCAGATACCCATCCCTCCACCAGTGCCCATTTTCCACCACCATGGATAATATCCCTCCCACCCCCATCCCCCCATCCCCCCTGTCTCTGTGGCAGGGCAATCCCCTGTGTTCTCTCTCTCCTTTTGGGTGTTGTGGTCTGCAAAAGAGGCATTGAGTGGCAAACATGTTCAGTCCATAGTCTACTTTCGACATGCATCTCCCCTCCTGGGAGGATCCTCCAAACATCCTTTATTTGGTGCTCCCTTCTCTATCTGAACAGCCCTTTCCTCTAGTATACCCGGCTGGCCTCTAAGTTATGGATTAATCCTCCTGGTGCTGATCTCAGCTATTCTTGGGTATTAATCTCATACTTTGTTACTAGCAGCCTCTTCTTAATCGTCTTTTCCCAGCAATTGGAGGCTCTTTCAGAGTCAGGGAAATGAGACCTATTTTTGCTATTGTTTTTGACATATCGAATACACTATGGGAAGCTTGCCAGGCTCTGCCCTTGTGGGCAGAATACTCTTGGTAGTTTGCTGGGCTTTCCAAGAGGCATAAATCGGCAGGAAGTATCTTATAATGTGTATTGTGGTCTGGAACGTGTCCTGGACTGTGGCGGTGGTTGGGCAGTGGAGGTCGGCTGCCAGGCCTGGGTCCTTTGGGGTGAGGAGGGCTCACACCCACCATGCACTCTGGAGCAGAGTCCATTGGCATTTTTCTGGGAACCTCCTTTTATACTCCCATCTGGGAGGAGCATCTGTGAGTTCTGGTGGGTAGCTGATGAGGAGATTATCTGGTGCCAGCAGGGTGTGGCTTATGGGTCTGATTCCCAAGACTGGAGGAAGCAGGCAATGGATATCTGTTACGGGTCCTGTTGAGTCCAGGGTCCAAAGTTCCAAAGTTCCGTATTATCTGGGTTCCGTGGGACTTCATTCTTGCGTGAGGCTTGGCCTGAGCATCCTTTATATAGAGTCTACTTTTATATTATTGAGTAAATGTCTTCATTATAAGAACTGTTCATTTTCTATATGAGATGCAAATAAATTAATTTCAAATTCTTAAATAGAAATCTGAAAGGATATCACATGGCATAGATGCTAAAGGAAAAATTTTATCATTGTAAATTTTAATTGCTATTTTAGTTTTACAACTAGGACCTTTATCACTATTAATATGAATAATGTTATTTATGGTAAATCAAATTTTTGTATTAGGATAATTTTAGAAAAAAAGAAGGAGAAATGAGAAACTTCTAGAGCAAAATAAAAGAATTTTACACCCTTGAATTGAGATTGGATGATTTCAGAATCAGAACGACACCAAAACATTTTCAATTTTCATAACAAGACATTAGACATGTGATAGAATGTCACCTAAAATATAATATTCAAGATGGACATGATATAAAATAACTATAACAATAGTTTCTAGAGAAGTAATGACATATTTTGCTTTACATTTTATCATTGTTTAATTTGATATGAAATAATTTCCTAACAGTTTCTTTCACAACTTTGTTCCTAAGACTGTAGATCAGTGGGTTGAGCATAGGGATAACCACTATGTAAAAGACACAGCCCACCTTGACTATCAGCCATGAATTTTTGGAGTTAGGAACACAGTAGAGAAGGAAGATGGTCCCATGGAAGATGGTAATAGCAGTGAGATGGGAGGCACAAGTGGAGAAGGCTTTCTTCCTCCCCCCTGTAGAAGGCATCTTCATGATTGTGATAAAAATGTAAGCATAAGAAGTAAGAATAATGATCAGGGTGCCTACTTCATTGATAATACTAAAGGCAAATGTGACCTTTTGGGGAACGTGGAGATCAGAATAGGAGACAGAGGCTATGGCACTATATTCACACACAAAATTATTAATGATATTTCTTCCTCTGAAAGATAATCTCATTAGGAAGCTGGTCAGGGTAACAGAGCAAAATGTAGCATAAGAGTATGATGCACCCACCAACATGGCGCAAAGCTTCTGGGACATTGCAGTTGTGTAGTTCAAAGGATTACAAACAGCCACAAATCGGTCATAGGCCATCACAGCTAATAAGTACAGTTCTGCTCCCACAAATATACATATAAAGATGAATTGAATAATGCATTCAGGGAAAGTGATAGATTTGTCTTCCACAACTAAGTTTTCTAAAAGCTTGGGTGTAACAATTGTAGAGTTACAAAAATCAATAAAGGACAAATGACGGAGAAAATAGTACATGGGGGTGTGGAGTTTGGGATTAATCTTGATAACCAAGATCATGCCTAGATTTCCTACCACACTGACTGTATAGATGGTTAAGAATAGTAGGAACAGAGGCACCTGGAGTTTTGGGTATTCTGAAAAGCCCAAGAGAATGAATGTGGCTTCAGCACTCTGGTTTTCCAGGTACCTGTGAACAAAATAGAAAAGTTTTTAAGAGAACTAAGAAACTAAATTTGGAATAGTGATGTTAAATGTGAAAATAGTGATGGGCTCTTAATCCTTGAATAGTCAATGGAAAATACTTGGTTTCACCCATTATTGCCCATAAAGCAAAATTAATTACTTTCTTAATTGACTATAAATGTAAAGTTTGTGTACATTGAATTAGCTATAAATTAGAACAGGTTAGTGAGAAACAACTGCAATACAACTGGTCTTTGTATATTTCAAGTAACAATGCTCAATATTTACAAACACGTTATTTCACAAAAATAACTGATATCTTGTTACAGGAGTACAGCGATGACATCTCCTGCCTAGCAAGCCTCAAGTTTTCAGTGAATATATAGATATTCCTCTAAAAATTTTCTGGGTTTTTCTAGACATTCTCTGGGTTTCTTTCCTCTCTGTCAATCTTATTTACCTTTGACTTGTTCTTCATGTTCAGAAAAATAATCTTAATTATGTCACTACCAAGTCATCAAATGTGCCAATTTCACTCACTAGTAACTATATATATTCATACATATATAATTAAATTGTCATGTCATATTTGTCATTTCCTTATTAATATATTTTTCTTGGCATCAAAATATGATACAACACAACACAAAGAATACATGCTAAGATAGAACACACTAAGATAGAATATATGCTCAATAACATTTTGTGAATAAATGAATATGTGAACATTATATTTTGATGACATACATAATTTGATTTCTCCTTTTTGGGGGGGAACTTACACTTAAATTTTCAAAATTTTCTAAAGAATAATAAAAATAAAACAATATTTTCACATATATATGATATGATTTTGGAAACCACATGTAAATTGGGACTCTATTTGAGGATACTGATCCTATGATATGATTGCTGGAACTTTCTATCACACCAGGAATTACTGAGAGTGAGAGAGGAGCTGGAGGTTGAATAAACTGACAAGAGTCAACAATTTTATTCTGCAAACTTGGAATGAAGTCTTCATAAAATTTCAAGTGATGTGATTTGGAGACTTCTCTGTTGGTAAATAAGAGGAAATGCAAGGAAAATATTGTCATCTGTTTAAGGTGAAAAAACTGAACATTTTCTCTCTTATACTTTTACCATCTGAGAATTCTTTGGCGGTATATTCCTTAAAAATAAGCAAGAGAATTACATTACGCAAAGCTGGAGTTCTCATATATACCAAAAGAACTTAATTAGCACCAAAATTGTGTCCTAAAAATCCTCTCTCCCCTGTGTTCAGTGTTTGCAAAGTTTGAGTAACAGTATGAATTTGTAACTGGCTGGTGAAGTGGTGATGATGATGCTGTGTCCTAGAGGGCTGAGATGTAAACCTATGGACTCTGATTAGAGTAGAGTAGCTCCAAGTAGAGAGTATCAAGATTTAGTTAAGTATTAGCTGGTTAATTGTATCTATGAATCCTGAGGTTAAAGAAACCTCCCCAGCACATTGGAATGAGTTCATGACCCACAAGTCATCATTAATGAATGCATGAATAGGAGGGAAGTCTTATGCTAAAATGAACAAATTTAAGGAAGTAAGTCTATCGGTTAACTCTGAATTTTGTTGTAAATTGCAATGTGTTGAATCATGCTTCACAACAAATCTATCTAAAACCTTATGGGACAAATGATTCCTGAATTACAAAAAGTTGTTATATATTGGGTTAAAAATATATTGGAAATTTTTATCAATGCCCTGGTTCTCGTGTGGTTGGAAAATGGGTTACAAGATGCAGAAGTGATTTCTACAACTTCTCAGAACCTGAACATAGAAGATGTGGGTTAGACCACTCTCAAAAATTTCCAATAAGGCAAGTGCCACCCTCCCTTCAAGATTCTTTCTGTTGGTTCCCAGATTGTTTGCTGATTACATTTTCTTTGCCCTCAGTTTGTTGATTGTTTGCTCCCTTTGATCCTGTTCTTTACTTTGTGAACTCATCAAAGAAAAAGTTGGCTTGCTTGTCCTGGAGGCTCAGAGTTTGAAGAGTAAATCTTTTAAGCCTCCCATTATGGCCCTGCAGGACCCAGGTGTCTTCCCAGAGGCCTGGACAAAAGCAGCTCTGAGCGCCTGCCTTCCTGATCTCTTCCCAAACCCAGGTCAGTTCACACACGGGTACTTGAACCTGGGACTTGGATCTCTCCCTGCGGGACCCCAGGAATCTTCCCAGACACCTGGAGAAAAGAAGCTCTGAGCACCCGCCTTCCTCTCTTCACTCCTCATGCAGTGCTGATCTAATCCCAAACCCAGGTTCTCTTGGGGGCGTGGCCTCTTCACCAGTGGGCGTGTTTTCTGTAGAGGTGGGTATGGTCTTTTTTCAGGGGCTGAACGCTCAAGAGGTCTCAGGTAGTTTAGCCTAATAAGAAACCTAGTCCCTAAGGAACCTAGTCCCCAACCTACACAGCAATATGAAAAAACAACGCAAATCCCCACCACATCGGGAGGACAACAAAAAGAATGCAGAATTCTCTGTTGATACCGCACACCTATGGGACCTCTCTGACATAGAATTCAGATACAAATTCATGAAGATGTTCAATCACCTCAATGAACCAGTCAGACAGATATCCAGTAACATGACAGAAAAAATTGACAAATTATGCAAAGAAATGAGAGCAGGAATGTCGCGATTAAAAGATTCCATAGATGAAATGAAAAACTCACTCTCTTCTCTCAACAATAGAATGACCACAGCAGAAGCAGCAGAAGAGAGAATCAGTGAGCTGGAAGATCAGCTGCACCAAGCCAACAGGCAACAACAAACAGTGGCAAGGGCCCTCAAAATAGCTCAAGAACGAATCAGAGTCCTAGGAAATGATTCCAAGAGGAACAACATTAGAATCATTGGACTACCGGAAGCTCAGACAAACAATCCCAACAGAAAAAAACACGGTCAAACAAATTATTGCTGAAAAATTCCCAGAGCTCCACAATGCAGCCTTTCAGGTTCAAGGAGACCGAAGGGTACCAGCTAAAAGAGACCCTAACAAAAACACTTTAAAACATATCATAGGTTGAATGATTGATGCTGCCGATAGAGATACAATACTGCAAGCAGCAAGGGCAAAGAAGGAAATCACATACAAAGGAGCACCCCTTAGATTCACAGCAGATTTATCAGAGGAAACCTTCCAAGCCCAAAGGCAGTGGCGAGGTATAGTGAAAAAACTCACTGAAATAAATGCTTCACCAAGAATACTCTATCCATCTAAATTCTCACTCAAAAGAAAAGGAACGGTACACTAATTTCTAGACAAACATCAGCTCAGGAACTTCATTGATTCAAAACCAAACCTAAAACAAAGGCTAGGGCTCTACTATACGACAAGACAAACCCTACAACCACAACAGACCCTCAAAGAAGGATGACACAAAACCCCATAACAATAATCTCTCTCAATGTCAACCGTCTAAATTCATCAATTAAGAGACACAGAGTGGCACAGAATCCAACATTCTGCTGCCTACAAGAAACCCATTTCAACAGCCAGAGCAAAC